TCCTTTAAAATTTCTCTTTCTGTAGGCTTGACACTGAGCAATCCCACCTCGCCTTGCCGTACTATAAGATGTCTGGATTGTCTCTGACTGAAGTTTTGGCCCGTGTGGCCTGGACAGGAGAGTGTGAATCACAGAAATATGAGAGAGGATTAATATTTTATATTAACCATTCACTTTATGAAAACCTGGATGAAGAATTAAGTGAAGTGAATATAATTTCCTATAAAGTTACAGTTTCTGTTTTTAACTTTTCATTTTACTAATTTTTTAGTAAATAGTATTTAGAACTTGAGTTCCAAATATTTTCTTCTACTAAAAAAAGCAAAATGCTCTTTTCTCCTTTAATGATTTTAGAATTATGGCTTGGAAAAGAGTTTAGGGGTCACCTTTTCATATTTGTTTAGTATTCAGCATGGAGATGTTATCTGTTGTGATTGAGGGACCTGTCCAGTCATAGTGACATCTGTTCTGGAGTGAAGGACAGAATGAGGTCTCTGTTTTCTTTTGCAGTATGTTTTGTTCACAATTCCATTTAACTTTTCAAGTGTCCATACTTCAAATGGACCAGTGACCTCTTAAAACATTATTAAAGATTATTTTGTATTTTAAGTACAGTTGGAAATTGTAATACCATATACTTAGAGATTTCAAGGGAAGTAAAAATTTCTCTTGAATTATATTATTGAGTCTATTTTTGAACTAAGTTGTAGTTGTAATTTGAAAACAATTTAGTAGACTTTTAAGTATAATAATATTTTCTCCTATGTGATTGAAATTAGAAACGCTGGTCACAAATTGATATATATGTATCACTGATTTTTTTTTCTTATTGCACCTCAGCAGACAGATAGGTCATCTCATTTCTAGTTTCCTCAAATATTCTCATGAACACTGTGTCTCAATCATAATACTGTATTGTTTTCCACTGGTTTTGCATACTTACATTCCGTTTTTCTATTATTTTGCTTCCTATTGGCTAACCTTTTATTCTCTGTTCATTCTCATCAAAGGAATTAGCAGCAAAAGTGGCTCAGATATTTCATGTGGCTGAGCCGAAGCAACTGCCACATGTTCTCTGTAGTCCTTCTATGAAGAATATTGATCCTTTAACTGCCTTGCATTATTTAAAGAAGTTGGATACTTGTGAATTTTCACCAGTCTTAATGACCTTGACCAAGGCAGCAGTGGCCTTGAAAATGGGAGATCTTGACATGTACAGGAGTGAAATGAAGAGCCATTCAGAGGTACAGTACCATGTCTGGTGTTGACCATGGCCTGAAAGAGGATTGGAGGTGATCCTGAGGCATTTGACTTTCTTCTGGTTTCTTGAACCCCATGGCTTCCCTCCCTCCCTCCCTCCCTCCCTTCCTCCCTCCCTTCCTTTGTTTCTTTTTTTATTTTGAGACAGGGTTTCTCTGTGTAACTGCTCTGGCTGTCCTGGAACAGGCTCTGAACATCAGGTTAGCCTCAAACTCACAGAGAGCTGCATGCCTGTGCCTCCTGTGTGCTGGGATTAAAGCCATGTGCCTGCACCTCCAGGCCTAGCTCATGGTTTCTTAGTAATAGTTAACTGACAGCATTAAATGGGAACTAATCTAACTGGCACTTCATATCTGGCAAATGGAACAAAAGAATGAGCTTGATAAATATCAGCAGTACCACATATATTCAGAATATTGTTTGGCACACAAGAATATAAAAGCTGTGCCCAGAGTTAACAACTAGAGTAGGTGTAAGAGATGGTGTGTTTACTGGAAGCATAATATGGTGATGAGTTTTTTTTTAAAATATAGATGAGTTTTTTTTTAAGTATAGAAAGAAGGATATTAAATGTAAGCCATAGGAGTCGAATAGGTGCAAAAATGCTCTCCATTCCAGAAAACCACAAGAGACACCATGGAGTAGTGGATATTTAAATGGTACACCAAAGAAGGAAAGGTTTTTTTTTTTTTTTTTGAACAAGGATCATTTAGGGACAAAGACCAAAGAGGTTAATCACTTTAGGTGGGGGTGAGGGAATTATTTCTGCGCTTGTGTTATCAATTGCTTGCATGTATTATTTCATTTTATTCTTGTTTAGTGCTGAGGTCAATGTTACACACATGAGACCCCTGAGACACAGAGCTAAAATGACTTGTCTGTGATTGTGCAGTTGGCCAGCTTGAGCATCCAAGGTGCCTTTAGAGCCTGGGCCTTGTTGTTATTGTTGCTTGCTTGGCCAAATGCTCACACTATGAACATGTTTTCTAAAACAGACAAGACATCACTGTGCCTGGAGACAGTTTGCTAGGAGAAGACATCAGCATCAGGGCATCTGCTTAGAAGAATAGAATTCTGAAAATCAGAGTTTTCTTTCCATAATTTGGAGATGCTTAGGAGATATATCTAATCTAAAACTTTTTACAAAAATGGAACACGTCTAAGTTTAGTTGTCTATCAATAATTTATATAAGATAGCTAATAATATCCGTCTTGGGGTAAGAGCTAGTGTTTTGTGGCTAAAAAAAATGGAAATAAAGTATTAATATCTTTCCCCTAAATGGCATTAGGATATATGTATGCAATGAGTAATGTTGATGTAATGTACACTTCATTCCAACATTTCTTTCTCAATCTGAAGATGAAACTGGTGTATGGCTTCATTCTGGAACCTCGGCTGTTAATTCAACAGTGGAAAGGACAGATTGTTCCTACTGAACTTGCAATTCACTTGAAGGAAACTCAGCCTGGATTGCTTGTAGCTTCAGTCCTGGGCTTACAGAAGAATGGTAAAATTGGAATTGAAGAAGCAGATTCTTTCTTTAAGGTTTGTCCAGTTGAAAATACAATTTTTCTGAATGACCTGATAGAAGTTTATAATGTAATAATATATAATGTAAACCTACAGATTAAAAGAATGTTTCTGTGAAACTTCACACACACAACCTAGAATCTGTTTCTTATTTTTTTAAAAAAATGTATAACTTTGCTGTTACCATGGCAGTCAAGCCAAATTTATAAACTACATGTCCACATGGTGGAGAGATAGCTCTGTTGTCACATATGGCTCAGCGTTTATGTGGGGTACCCTGTTTTCAAGGTGCTGTGTGGAAAGGATGAAGACACAGTACCTCAGCTTTTGGTAGACTTCTGGGAAGCTCAGCTTGTAGCTTGTCTCCCAAATACGGTACTTCAGGAACTCTTCTTCAAGCTTACGTCTCAGTACGTCTGGAGGTTATCTAAAAGGCAGTGTCCTGACACCGTACCATTGAGGACAGCGGAGGATTTGGTAAGATAATGAAATAGTGACTTAAATGCATACAGCGCATGCCGCAATACTTTGTTCTTGGTTTTATTTTTGAGAGAGAGAGAGAGTGTGCACGCACTGTGTACATGCACAGATGCAGATGCTCTGTGTGCAGAGTTTAAAGGTCACTCTCAGATGTTGTTCTCAGGAACTCTGTCCATTCTTTTTGCAACAGAGCTTCTCAATGACCTGCAGGATATCAGTTAGCAAGAGAGCCCCAGGTATCTTCCATTCTGCCTCCTCAGCAGTGAGATTACAAATGGGTACAGCCACACCTGACATTTTTCTAGGTTCTGGGAATCAAATTCGGGTCTTCATTCTTGTGAGGTAAACACATTACCTCCTGAAGCTATCTTTCCAGCCCCTACCCTGTTTTTAATGCTTAGAATGTACCTGAAGTTACGCATATCTTATGTACTGTCCCATCGTATACCCCATGGGGCTGCTAAGGGCTTATCAGGTAAAGTCCTTTTCTGCCAAGTGTTATGACCTAAGTTCTGTCCCTGGGATTTACAGTGGGAGAACTGACTCCTGAAAGTTGTTTTCTGATCTCTACATGTGCTCCATGACACATAAAAACATACACACACAAATAAAGATTTAAAGACTATCACCCAGAAGGAAGGTGTCATGGCATATGCTTTTAATTCTACCATTCAGGAAGCAGGGGCAGGTGGATCTCTGTGAGTTCCAGACCAGCCAGGCTACACATGAGACCCTACCTGTGCCAGATTCCACACCCTCAAAATAAAGAATGCTCGTGTATTCCTTTGCTACCACCTCGCGGTGTCGCAGCGTGTGCAGGGCTTTTCCCAGAACACGCTACATCTGTGCTTGTCAGCGGAAGACTGAGGACAAAGGGACCTCTCTGAGGAACTTCAGAAGGCAGTGGACAGTAGTCCTGTGCTTCCATTTCCTGTCAGGGGCACACTGGGGTGTGTCAGGGGTGCTGTGGGCAGCTGTAGCAGCCGTTGCTACCCGTCCTGCTCTCTTTTCCTCTTCCAACCCCAATTCCACGACTGCTGCAGCTATGCTGTAGTTACTGAGAAGGTCACAATGCAGTTTGTTAGTTAAAGCATGCTCTGTGGAGATCATGTTTAAAAGCTCACACTCCCAAAGTGATAGAAGTAAAAATTATTTCCACTGTTACCTTTAACATTTTTTAATATAATTGTCTTAAGACAAGTGTTACTTTTTTTTTCCTAGAAAGCCCTTTGTAGAATATTTTTAAATTTCAAAATATTAGGAAAAAGTTATTGCAGATTATGTGGTATGGAAACAATGAGACTGCACCCTTTTCCAGGAAATATATTCTAAAAAAATCTTCCTTTTCCTAGGAGAGTCTATAACTGAGTCTGAGACATGGCAAAGTATTAATGGACAGATAAAGAAAGTGTTTGTCTGCTGGGCGGTGGTGGCGCATGCCTTTAATCCCAGCACTCGGGAGGCAGGCGGATCTCTGTGAGTTCAAGGCCGGGCTGGACCGACAGCCTCCAAAGCAATACAGAGAAACCCTGTCTCGTAAAAACCAAAAAAAAAAAAAAAAAAAAAAAAAAGTGTTTGTCTGTTTGTTTTACTGTTGTTATGTTTGGCTTGTGATGCATTTCTTTAATGTTCCAGATAAACGCCTGCAGTCATTATGGCTTAGTCTATCCATGGGTTCATGTCTTAATATCATCTGATTCCTTAGCTGATAAAAATTACACAGAAGACCTTTTGAAATTGCAGGTAAATATAATGTCTCTTAACTTTTTAAGTATGCAATATATTACAGTATAATATACCATTTAAATACGATGCGATACCAAATGGTTTGTTGATTTAGAATATAGCTTTTGGGGGCAAAGCTCTGTAGTTGATTGCATTCAGGAGAATTGGCATCCTGCTTCTGCCTGCTGACAGATGGGGCATCTACGCGGAGAGGCTGGTCTCATTGCAGGTAAATGGGTAAGGGTGTACTTGAAAACACCTATGAGAAATAAAAATATTCAAATATATAGGGGTGTTTTGTAAGCATGAGTTTTGTTTAATGTGGCCTCACACAATTCAGACTTCTTACCCAAGCCACCACTACCATCTGTCTCTTGAACAATATGTCAAAGCAGTCAGTTTATCTGACCCCAGAAGAGAATTTTTCAGAAGAATTGTGGGACACAATTTATGGGGAGTTCTGACTATAACTGTTTCTGCATGTGCTGGGGTAGGTCAGACAGGGCTAAATGTGTGTATCTTTTAATATTGTTTGAAGGCCCAAAGATTGAATATAACGTTTGCCTTTCGTTTGTTTGGTTTACTCACTGTAGCTGGCCACATATAAAAATCAGTGTTTCATGTTCGGAATTCCGAGTTCACAGATACTGTTGAAAAATCCAGGAGCACTGACCACCTGTGCCCTCTGGAGGCCTGCTCTGACAGATTTTCTTTTTGTTTTTTTTCGAGACAGGGTTTCTCTGTATTGTTTTGGAGGCTGTCGGTCCAGCCCGGCCTCGAACTCACAGAGATCCTCCTGCCTCTGCCTCCCGAGTGCTGGGATTAAAGGCGTGCGCCACCACCGTCCGGCTCTGCTCTGACAGATTTGAGTAGCTCCTGTCTGAGCAGTGCACAGTCTGCTGTGTCTGTACCACTTTCACCTCTGTGGTTTCACGTCCAAATGCTGAGGGCCCCATGTGGTTTTGTTCTGCTTGGTACCTTTAAGATTTTGGGTGTGAAATTCCTGATAACAACTTTGCGAATTGATGTAAATGTGGTTCTTATCGATTATAGAGCCAGCTGGTGAGTTAGGGAAGGAAAGTCGAGAGACTAGATTCTACGGACACAGACTTGAGATGACCTATTAAAATCACCAGAGTTGGACATGGTGGTACATGCCTATAGTTCTAGCACTTAGGAGGTTGAGGCAGAAGGATCATGAATTCAAGTCCAGCCTCAGTAATTTATCAGTTAACCGCAACAACAGTATATCACCAAAGAAGAGTCTTTCACTGTCTCTTATCTCTAGTGTCTGTGTGACACTGTGCTAGGTCCTTATTTGTTGATTTTTATGGCTACTGTCTGAGAATGAGTTGTAAAAATGTGGTAGATGGCATTGGGCCTTATCCTCCAGGACATCCAGAGCAGTGATGTATATGCCTAAGAGTGGAATTGCTGGGTGTCATGGTAGACTTATTCCCATTTTCCTGAGGAATCTCCATACTAATTTCCACAGTGGCTGTACGAGTTGGCACTCCCACCAGCAGTGGAGGAGTGTTCCCCTTTCTCCACATCCTGTCCAGCATAAACTGTCCTTAGTGTTTTTGATTTTAGCCATTCTGACAGGAGTGAGATGGTATCTCAGAGTTTTGATTTGCATTTCTCTGATTGGTAGGGATATTGAGCACTTTTCTTAAGTGTCTCTCAGCCATTTTAGACTCCTCTATTGAGAATTCTCTATTTAGTTCTGTAACCCACTTTTTAATTGCATCTTTTGGTGTTTTGGAGACTTGCTTCTTGAATTCTTTGTAAATTTTGGAGATCAGCCCTCTGTCAGATGTGGGATTGGTGAATGTCTTTTCCCATTCTGTGGGCTGCCATTTTGTCTTGCTGACTGTGTCCTTTGCCTTACAGAAGCTACTCAGTTTCAGGAGGTCCCATTTATTAATTGTCGATCTCAGTGTCTGTGCTACTGGCGTTATGTCATCCTGTACCAATTTGTTCAAGGGTATCTACCATTTGCTCTTATAAAAGGTTTGGTGTGGCTGGATTTATGTTGAAGTCTTTGATCCATTTGGTGTTCTGTGTGCTTCTTGTATCTCGTATATTTGCCTGTTTCTCTCAGTTACTATAGGGGCATATTTGTATAATTATTAGTATAAAATCTACAAGTCACTTATAGGTAGATAGATAGATATCTGAGAGAACACTGTCTCTTCCCATTTTTTCTTGGTTCCTATCCCTCCTACACCACCTCCTCATGTCCTTGCCTGTAAAAGTAGAGAGTCAGAGAAATCTTCCAAATCAGAGCTGAGGTAGAGGAATCTTGATAGGAGGAAGGAATAAATGTGTTAAAGGTGGAGAGAGTTGATTTTCAGAACAAAAAAAAATGAAAATGTCTAAGAAATCAACCTCAGCATTAGTTTATGAGTAACAGTAATCTTTAGGCCATTTTTAGTTCAGTGATAGAAGTTTTGTTGAGTATTTATTTGTTTGAGACAGTGTGTCATTCTGTAGCTAGGCTGACCTGGAATTCACTGTGTGGTCCACATTGCCACCAAATTCTGGGCTCAAGATTTCATCTATCAATGCTGAGTTTATAGGGTATGATGCTGTGCCTGATTATGTTGCAGGAAAAGTGAATGGACCCAGAGACAGATTTTGGGTTCAACCTAAAGATAGGGAAGCAAAGCAGCCAATCTACCAGACAGGTCTTACCTCTAACAGAACTGGGTTGTTCCTATTCTTAATGTGGCTGGAGAATGAATGCCTCATACTGAATACTGAAGACCCTGCTTCTATCTTTTATACCCCTCTAGTTCTGGGATTAAAGGCATGTGATCTATTACTCTTTTAGACTGTTGAATCTCATGTAGATCTGGGTGGCCTTGGACTCACAGAGATCCATCTACCTCTTAATCCTGAGTCCTAGGATTAAAGGTGTGCACCAGACTTCTATGGCTTGTGGCTGACTTTGGTTTTTGAATCCTCAGGCAAGCTTTAATAAACCATAAATAATACATAACCACATGATTAAGAGTTGTTTAGTATTACTTATACTGACTTTTAAATTTTTAGCAACGTAGTTAAAAGGAACTAAACCTTTACAAGTAATCCATTTTGTGCTGTTTTGGCTAGTTTCACTGCAGCTCTGGTTTGGTACCCATGCTTTTCCTCTTCCTGCTACACCCATTATCCCATTAATCAGGAGTCAGTAGAGAAGTAACCTGTGCCTCATTCTGTGTTGGGAGATACTATGAGTGGGAGAGCCTCTCTATTTCATGTGTGCTATCTTACTGCCAGGAAATTACTCAGAGAAATTATTTAGATTGGTAAGAAAAGATACCTTATTTTCCAGGCCACTCCTTGGTAGGCATCTGGCATAAAATGATCATGCTGATTATGAATGTGTAGTGGATGGTCCAGGTCATCCTGTAACTCTGAGAAGATGCTGTAGCAAAAGAAGATATAGTGAAAGAAAGCAATAATTCTGTCTCTCAATATGAAAAGGCAAAATGGAGATTATTTGGGTGGTAGAATAAAAAATGCTACAGAGTTTAAAAGTAAGAACTAGTAGAGTTGCTTAAAAGGAAACCCTAGTAAATGTATGAATATTGACATAATGCCTGTGCCTGTCATTCAGTATGTGACAGGTGGTATTGACACAAATGACTAGGTTCTAAACAGTTACTTTGAAAGGAAAAAATGCTATTTATCTGGGGAAGCAGTGAAATGCACATGCCACAGTATATGTGTAAGTCAGAGGAAAACTTGGGGGATTTACTTCTCCCTTTCAATCATCTGGGTCCCAGGGAATAAACCCAGGTCATCAGGCTTTGGTGGCATGTTTGCTTACCTGCTGAGTCATCTCCCCATCCTGCAATTACTTTTAAACAATAATATTCAGTTTTCTTTGTGGTTACTGTTCTAGTTTTATCCTGTTGCTGTGACAAACACCAAAAGCAACTTAGGAGAGGAAAGGGTTTATTTGGATTATACTTCCAGGTCACAGTGCACCACTGATGCAAGTCAGGGCAGGAGCTCAGTAGGAGCCGGAAGACAGGATGGCCTGCTATTCTATGCAACATTACCTTCAATAAGGGAACTCACTTAGAGCCAAGGAAGCATAGCAGAAATCATGGTGGATGTTACTCAATAGTTATCCTGTGCTCATGTTTAGCTAGTTTTCTAATGCAGCCCAGAGAATAGTGTTGCCCACGGTGAACTAGAGCCTTCGCCATCAATTAGCAATCAAGACATTACCTCATAGACACGCTATAGACCAAGCTAATAAAAGCAGTTAGTCCATTGAGATTTGTACATGTTATGATGACAGTTAATGCTAACAAGGATAGTTACATACATACCCCCCCCCATACACACAATGCTCCTCATTGGAATTTTGGAAAAGACAGGGAAATGTTAAAAGAAAGTAAAACAAACTTCGTCCCACCACCTCATTTCTGGCTAATCCCTGCTTCAAACTGCAGTACTCTTCCAGAGATCTTCCTGTAAAGGTTTTGTACACTGTGTGGATTTTACAACATTGGTCATGCTCTTCATGCAATTTTACCTCAAGACATCTTGGCTCAGTTCTGTCATAATTATTTTCCTCCTTAATGGACATTTGGAAATATAATATTGGCAATTCTATCATGTTCTGTGAAGTATGCGCCATAGTTTATTGTTCTCATTCCTTCTTGTTGGACATGTAACCACCCATGGTCTTTCAGTATTACGAATACACATGCAAAACATTGTGGGGCAAAAATCTCTGACCACATGTTAGTCATATCCTCAGGTTAGAGTCCTAATTAAAGAAGACCGCTTTGTATTTAATAGATTTATTTGAACTAGAACTGAATTTAAGATTGAATTTAAGATTATTTCATACTTCAGTACAAGCGTTTCAGGACCAAATTTATGCTTTCTAAAGTTGCATTTTCTTTCTTTTTTTTTTTTTTTGGGCAAAGTGGGATTTTATCATTTTGAAAAATGATACTATATGTTGTGTTTTAATTTGGGATGTCTCATTCCATAACATTTTGCTTTTCTGCCCATAGTCTCTTATATGTGGCCCTTCATTTGATGTAGCTTCCATTGTTCCATTTCTGGAGCCACTTCCAGAAGATACTGTTGCTGGCCTCAGCGCTCATGTGCTGTGTCATACACGATTACAAGAGTATGAACAATGCATAGACACTCTGCTAGAGAGATGCCCGGAGGCAGTCATCGCGTACGCTAATCAGGAACTCAAGGAAGAACACTGGGTATGCACTTCAGATTGTGTGTCTAGTCTTGATCAGTGGTGAGAAGACTGGGCAATTTTGTTGGCTTATCTGCAGAATGAGGACTATTTTTGTTAGTGTAGCTTTACTGGACTGTGTGTCCAAAAACATGTATGTTTAATCTTAGACATTTTGGGTACTTTTAGATGCTATTAAAATACATGGGGATGATCTATCTCGTCTTTTAAGAGCCCTTGTTTCTAGTTGAGATCAGTGAGTACTTGAAGGGCTGGGCAACATGTCTGTGGTGGAGAAACACCTTCACTGTATTGGGTCTTTGATTTAGCAATTAGTAGAGTTTTAGCTTTAGCATTTCTTTTGTTTCTTCTTGCCAGCCAAGATAAAAGGACATGTCTGTGTTTTTCTTTGAAAACAATTGTGTACATGTGTACCTCAAATTACAGGACTTTCCTTTTATTTTGGGTTTCATCAGACACCTAGCTGCTGATAAAACCCTTTTTGCAACAGAGGGGATGCCTTGACCAAAGGATACATTTTTCTGTTTGGTCTAGCCTGTACAGCCTTCTTACTCTCATAGAAATTTGAGAATAAGATGCAACAAACTAAAATGCATTCATTTTCCCTAAGATAGATTCTGTGGTGGAAAAAACTGCTGCCTGAACTTTGTCAGAAAGTCAAGTGTGGTGGAGAGAAACACCAACTTTATCTGTCATCTTTAAAAGGTAAAATTCTCTTTTTTGGATGATTACGAATTTTACTCTCAAGGACAAGTTCTTGATTTCTGTAGTATTGTTTGTTTGTCTTCATGATATTAAGTGAGATGCAAAGGTCATAAAAGTCATCTGGAGGGTTTTCAGCTTCCGTGTTGCACCTCACACGTGATTCTCACTCAGTATCAGTAGTCACAGAGCTGAAGACCTTTAGCAGAATATTGTCATGGAAACTCATAATTCCTGTTTTTAAAATATTATGGAGGTTTAGAAGTTTGGCTTTTTAATTTACTTCATGTAGGAAATTAAGATTGGTAGGGGCCAGGAGAGATGACTCAGAGGTTGGGACTTCCACCTTGAACATGTTAATTCCAGTTTTTGGCAGCTTCAGAAATATTTGGGTTTTTATAATTCATAAAATGCTGGAACAAACACTGAATGCTCTGTGTGATTTACCATTTTTAAGTTATTTTTTTATTACATTTTTTAAGAAAAGAGCTTGCTTCATATGTCAATCCCAGTTCCCTCTCCCTCCCCTCCTCCCGCAACCTCCACACCATCCCTCCAAGCCTCCCACCCTATCCCCACTACCTTCCAAATAGGGGATATCCAATACTCCTCAAAGTGTCCCAATAGAAGCGGGAGGCTCACTGCAAACTCTTTTTATGAGGCTACAATTACCTTGGTACCCAAGCCACACAAAGACACAACTAAGAAAGAGAACTATAGACCAATTTTCCTCATGAATGTCATTGCAAAAATACTCAATAATATACTGGCCAATCGAATCCAAGAACACATCATCCACCATGATCAAGTAGGCTTCATCCCAGGGATGCAAGGATGGTTCAACACACGAAAATCTATCAATGTATTCCACCATATAAACAAATTGCAAAAGAAAAATCACATGATCATCTCACTAGATGCTGAAAAAACCTTTGACAAAATCCAACACCCCTTCATGATAAAGGTCCTAGAGAGATCAGGGATAACGGGAACATACCTGAACATAATAAAAGCAATATACAGTAAACCAACAGCTAACATCAAACTAAATGGAGCAATTCCTCTAAAATCAGGAACAAGACAAGGCTGTCCACTCTATCCACATCTCTTCAATATTGTACTTAAATTTCTAACTAGAGCAATAAGACAACAAAAGAAGATCAAGGGGATATAGATTGGAAAGGAAGAAGTCAAACTTACACTATTTGCAGGTTATATGATAGTTTACATAAGTGACTAGAAAAACTCTACAAGGGAACTCCTAGAGCTGATAAACACCTTCAGCAAAGTGTCATGATACAAGGTTAACTTAAAAAAAAATCAGTAGCCGTATTATATACAGATGATAAAGTGGCTGAGAAAGAAACCAGAGAAACATCACCCTTTATAATAGCCATAAACAGCATCAAATATCTGGGGATAACGTTAACCAAAGACGTGAAAGACCTGTATATCAAGAACTTTGAGTCTCTAAAGAAAGAAATCAAAGAGGATACCAGAAAATGGAAAGATCTCCCATGCTCTTGGATTGTTAGGATCAACATAATAAAAATGGCAATCTTGCGAAAAGCAGTCTACAGATTCAGTGCAATCCCTATCAAAATACTGGCACAATTCTTCACAGACCTTTAAAGAGCAATAATCAACTTTACATGGAAAAACAAAAGACCCAGGATAGCCAAAACAACCCTATACAATAAAGGAACTTCAGGAGGCATCACCATCCCTGACTTCAAGGTCTTTTACAGAGCTATAGTCCTGAAAACAGCTTGGTATTGGCACAAAAATAGACAGGTAGACCAATGGAATAAAATTGAAAACCCTGTTTTTAACCCACACACCTATGAACACTTGATTTTTGACAAAGGAACTAAAATTATACAATGGAAAAGACAGCATCTTCAACAAATGGTGCTAGCATAACTGGATATTGGCATGCAGAAGACTGCAGATAGATCCATGTCTATCACCTTGCACAAAACTTAAGTCCAAACAAATCAAAGACCTTAACATAAATCCAGCCACAGTGAAACTCTTAGAAGAGAAAGTGGGAAATACTTTTCAACGAATTGGTACAGGTGACTGTTTCCTGAACATAATACCAGTAGCACAGACAATGAGATTGACAATTAAGAAATGGGACCTCCTGACACTAAGAAGCTTCTGTAAGGCAAAGGACACAGTCAGCAAGACAAAAAGGCAGTCCACAGAATAGGAAAAGCTATTCACTAACCCCATATCTGACAGAGGGCTGATTTACCATTTTTTAGACTGCTGTATTTCAATGGTTGGCATAGAGTTTTATTCATTTTCGTGGTACAGTCTCCTTATCAGCATTGAGTTCCTACAGGGAAGGGTCTGTGGCTGTGGCTATTTATTGATGGAGTCTCGTTTCGTTGAGGTCTTTCTGTTGGCAGCTATAGTACTCTGAGAAGAACCTAGCAGTAGAGTCTTTGGAATTGGGACTAAGTTCTAGGTCTGTC